AAGGACAGGAATTAAATTCCAAGCAGTGTCTTAGCCATTTATTGCTACATAAAGAGTTACCCCATATAAAACAGCTTAAAACAATAGAAAAATAATACTACGACAGTAAATTTTGCAGGGTGATTTGAATGATGCTCATCTAAAGTGAGTGATGGCGGTTTCCAGGTGGTGCCCTTACTCTGGAATTAAAATCTAAAATGGGGCTGGCAGGATGGCTCAGTGGGTAAAGGTGTGTGCTGTGCAGGCCTAGAGACCTGACTTTGACCCCTGAGATTCACATAAGGGTGGGGAGAGAGAACCAACTCCTGAAAGTTGTCCCCTGACATCCACACACATGCCAGGCATCCATGTGGCCCCACCCTCCCAAATAATAATTGAACATCTGACCTGCTTCAAGTCTGAATTTCTCATTTTGGAGCATTTCAGATTTTGGATTTTTGGATTAGGAATGCTCAACTGGTAGTCTTTGCAAATATTTTAAATCTGAAGAATTCCAAAATTTGGAAACAGCTCTGTTTCCGGTTTGTGCTTCTCAGCCTGTACTCATGGTTTCTGAAGGACAGATTCTGATGGGCACTCAGCTGCTGGTTCTGTCTCAGGGTCTCATGAACTGTTGGCTAGGCAACAGTGTGCCGAAGGCTGGCCCGAGGGTGGAGGATCCATTTTCAAAGAGGCTCCTTTACATGACTTCTTCGTTGGCTGAAGACTTCAGTTCTTCACCATGGAGAGGAGAGAGAGAGAGAGAGAGAGAGAATGAGAATGGAGCTTTGTGTGACTTAGCCTCTGACTCATACAATATCCTTTCTGCCCGAGTCTATATTCTAGTTTTTAGAAGCAGTCAGTAAGTGTCTCAGGAACAAAAATTCCTCTTTCTTGAAACAGCAAGTAATGCAGACATGTTTTTAAGGCCATTACTGCATTACTGTTGGGTTTTTTAGGTACAATTCCACACAATAAGTCTTGACTTTTAGTCCCCTACTGCCTCCCTATAGCCATCCTTTCCCTCATCCTTAGCTCCAAGCAGTGCCACACTATTTTCTGTCCTTATAGTTTTGACTTTGCTAGAAATCCATATAAATGGAATAACACAGTATGTAGCCTTTTGAGCTTGGCTTTTCTGTTTAGCATAATTCATCTGATGCTAATCTTTTATACAGGATTTTAAACTCAAAGACATTTTACTCAGTGTTGTTGGTGCCTTTTCTTGTGGGCAGTCACTGTTCTAGTAAAGTCCAGAAGCCTCTCTTAGTAAGCACAATGGCCCTCTGCTGTGGGTCCTGGCTACAGGTGTAAGAGTAGTCTACCCAGGGTAGAAGAAGGTGCCAGGGAGTCAGCTGGATAAAGTCAATGGGTAAACAGTGTCCTTGCCCTCAGGATGGGATGGCTCTGAGGCAGGCACCCCAGGCTTCCCAGTAGGGCTGGACACACAGGAGCAGAGGGAATGGTCAAAGTATCATTGGGTTCATTCCTGCTACAAAAGAGAAAAGAACTGTATTTATATTTCTTCCTCAATTCACATTTGTTTTGGTTTTACTGATACTTCCAGTTTGCTCAACGTTTACAGCATTTACATTCTTTTCATAAGTATAATTCCTGTGGTATATTTCAGAGCTTATGGTCAATACTTTCAGTGTCAGCATTTTCAAGGTCATAGCTTTGTCATTCTCAAATTCTTTGATGCTTCTCTCTGAGTTGTATCATGCAATCAGTCAGTATAGGCAGGGTACAGTGCTATAACAACCTCAAAAATCTCAGTGATTCAGCCAACAAAGGCTGACTTCTCTCTTATGCTACATGCCCAGTATATACCATCAAAAGAGCTGTCCCCAGCCATCACTCTGAGACTTAAATGGAGTTTCCTTCTCCACACATACTTCCATGATAATCATAACAGCGGGAAGGAGCCAACATAAACTGTGTGCTGTCTCTCAAAGCCTCTTCCCCAGAACATCCTACCTGTACTTACATCTCATTGGCCAAAGAAGTCACACCTAACTCAAAGGAGGTAAGTTCTCGACTGAATTCAGAAGAAATGGGAAAACTTAACGATGGCATGACGACACTAAATGAAGATCAATATCATCAATTAAGATCTTCACACGTTTCCCTGACTGCCTCACAGGTGAATCTAACCTGCTGAGATAGGTCAGGTGGCATCTTCTGATCCCAGCTTTTCTCAAGGAAAATCTAGGCATTAAGCAGCTCTGCCTCCTGAGACTTTTGGTTCTAACCATTCAGTCTTCCTCTACTCCCGTTTTGTGGTCCACCCTTGGATTAATTCTCCAGTCATGGTCATGGTATTTAGATGTCATTCATTTTGGAAGACAAAAGAGGATGTATCTTTGTCTCAGTCTATTCCTACTTCCTCTAACATTGCTGAAATTCATCCCTTGAGTTATCCATGTCTAGACACATATGGGGGGGGGCTGAGATATGACTGTAGGACAAAGGGCCTCTATGGAGGGATCCTAGTGCAGATACTGAGGACAAGATCAGCTCTTCCCTGTGCAGTATAATTTGTAAGTCACCAGGGATACGCACTGTTCCCAAAACCTTCCCCTAGACTAGGCATTTCCCATCACTCGTTCATTACCTTGTGCTGATTTTTGTCTCCCTTGTAGATAATATTAATGGTCTCAATTCCTCAATTAAATTGCTGGCCTCCTCTCCACTTCTGTTTAGATGTCCTTGTAACTTTGCAGTCCCTTTCCAGAGGTAAAAAGCAATTCCTGTCCTCTGACTTAGACCTGACCTCATGTGACTTGACTTGGCCAGGGGTATGAGGTTGCATGACACCACATCCATCCTGGGGCTTCTCTCTCATTGCTGTCCACTGTCTTGTGCCACCCAGAGAAGAGCCACTGCCTTAGATAACTGCTTCCCCTTCAGCCAGGGACCCAGAAGAAATCCTAGGTGGGACTGACCTTAGTCTAACCAGCAAGGACTGAAGGCCAGTCAGGCCTGCAGCAGCTGCCCACCTAGCCCTGTGTGGCCCAGTCAACCCTCCACTGACTCATAGATGTTGTTTTAAGAATAAAGATTCACAATTTACAGCCACTGGAATTGAGGGCAGTTTGCTCTGTAGCAATATCTGACACCTTTCTTCTAGTCCAGAATGACCAACCCTGTGCTGCCAAAGTCCAAACACGCCTTCCTCAGGAGAAGAGCCCAGAGCAAGTGAAAGAGCATTGTTTTTGGAGCCATCCACATATGGGTCTGAGTTCTGCCTCTGCCAAGCACCAGCTTATCATGGGTGAGCTGCTTAACCTTACTGGGCCTCAGTTTCCTCATTCATAAAATGAAAGTAAGAAAGTAATATTACTCTCATCACTGCCTTGCAAGGTGAATCAGTGTTAATAACATATGTAAATTACTTGACGCAGTAAGGATGTAATAAAGCATCCTTGTCTCTTATCTCCTTAGAGCTCTGGCCTCCTAAGGGCTTGGTCTTTCATGACTCTTGGGAGAGAATTTACAGCTATGAACTAGTAGAGAGCCCAGACAGCACCTTATCTAAAACAGCCCTGTCTAGCCTAGCCTACAAGCACTGGACATCACACGACTCTCAGGGCCTAGAGAAGAAAGAACAGTGGATAAACATTGAATGCACTCAGATTTTGACAGTGACCTTGTGGAGTCATGTTAGCCCCTGTCCTCAAAGCCATTGGTTCAGGATTTGGTAAGGAGCTGATGTCTGAGAATTTTAAAGTGTTGTGGGTTTGACCAGCACCTGAAGCTGTAGTGAGATATTTGTGAGGTAGAGAGATTGAACCCTCCTCTTGGCCCTGGATCTGCAGTGTGGGTTTGGCCATAACTCAGAGATTCCAATTAGAATATATCAAGTGTCTAAAGTTAAAAGCATGGTTAGGTGCAGCGGGCGAAACATGCGAAGGAAATCAGACTTTCTGGCTTCCCAGAACTACATGATGATGAGGGATGACCAGACAGAGGTGGGAAACCCAGCAGGCATGTTGAAAGGCATGTCTTCTTAGTTTGAATCCCCTACCCCAAGAGTGGATCCTAAGACAAGAGTCCCATGGGAGGGGTTTGATGGTGCGTGGGAAGGAGCATTCCAAGAAATGCAAGTCAGAGTGGGAACACAACCAGGAGGGAAGGAGGGCTGAGGATTAGGAGCCCCGACACTATCACGGCAGGCAATGAATGCTTAGTTCTCCTCTGACGGCCAGTAGAGAGCCAGCAAGCAACATGAACCTACCCTGGGGAATTCACACACTATTTGTCAGCCATTGGTGGATGACTATTCCCAGAAAGTGAGCCTGCTCCCTGGGGGAAGTGCACCTCACTAGAAAGGCAAAGTGATGCAAGGACCGTCCGCTGGCCAGTGGCTACCCACCACCAAGAAATAAGGGGGAAAGGGCCATGGCAGGCACCTGAGCCCCTACTTCAGGTGTGCTGTGGGCACAATGGGGCTTCACTTTGAAAACAGAATCCATCCCTTGTCATAAGTCATAAGGTCTTTGTAAAGCCCATCTCCTTGGCTCTAATTGTGTCTATTCATGTGCTAGGAAGATGGAGACTCATGGGACCTGGTCAATGTTCCATGTACAGTGGCTCTGACAAGCAAAATATTAAAACATACGGCATTGTGTGTCTTATTACTCAGAGAAGTAAGGACCAGAGCGGTCAGGGGAGGCTCTTAGGAGGAGGTGACATTTGAGCTTGGTATTAAAAGGGAGCTCCCAGTTGAATTAGCTAAGGATGGGGGAGGGGGAGAAGAAGGGAAAGAGAAGAGGTGGGGGCAGAGTGGGCCATGGAGGAGGATGGCAGCACAGCTGGGCCCTGCAGACTCTTGTTCAGGTCTGCTGCTGTCAAAGCTGAGCCACTGCCTGCAGGCCCTCTTGGTAGTGAGGTGTTTGGTGACTTAGAGATGCTCTCAGGGACACCAGGGCAGCACTCACAGAAACAGACAGAAGTTAGAATGGATGAGGATGATGCAAAGATGTCTACGATGTGCTAAGGCGAAAAGCAGGTGGCCAAAGACATAGCACAACCAACCTATGTTATTGAGCATCTGCTGGGTGCCAGGCACAGTTCTAGTTCTGAACAGACAAGAGCATCTCTCTCAAAAGCTGCTATTCTAAAGGAAAAAGGCAAGAGACAAGTGTGAATAAGTAAAACATGCATTAATTTGAACCATATGAAACTGACACTTTTTTTTTGGTTGAAATTGGCTATATATAGGCAGTTTTACATGGTTTAGCTGAGCAGAATGTTAGCTTCCTATAAGCGCTATGAATAAAATAAAGCCAAGAAAGGAGGTCAGAGGTCAGGGAAATGCAGAATTTTAAGAGTGATCAGAAAGATGGGTGTGGTGGTGCACACCTTTAATCCCAGCACTCAGGAGGCAAAGGCAGGCAAAGCTCTGTGAGATCGAGGTCAGCCTGGTCTAAATAGTGGGTTTCAGGCCAGTAGGTTAAGTCCTGAAAGATATGAGGTTGAGAGCATGGATCAGCTGGGGGAAAATATTATAACAGGGAACAGCCTGTGCAAAGGCACTAGGGTGGGAGTGTACCTAATGAGTCTAGGGAAAGGAGTCAGTAAGACAGAGAGAAAACTAGAAACAGGTCATGTAGGGTCTGGTCAGTCATTGACAGAACTTTGGCTTTCTCATAGGTTAAGACAGAAATCCACTGGAAGCCTACATAATCTGACATGTCTTAGCAGGACCACTCCGTGGGGTTGACAGTCTGCATGGGTAAGAGTAAGAGAGATCAGTTAGGAGAAGATGGCAGTGACCCAGGGAGAGATGATAGTGGGGGCACCAGGATGGAGTGACAGGCTAGCAAAAAATGGTGAGCTTCTGGATCTAAATTGAAGGACCTGAAGCATACGGAGATTAAAGGGCAGAAGGTCAAAGTGCCCCTAGCCTCGCATCCTCAAGTAACAGACATGAAGCCAGGCCCAGCAGGAAGGACCGGCCTAGGCTTGTAGAACACCATAGTGGACAAACAGAGAGAAGGTGAGAGCTAGTAGTCTGAACACAGGACTGTGGTAGGGATCAGAGGGTTTCTCTTCTGATGGTAACTGTTTTCTCAATACAATGGAGAAGAAACAGGAGGGTAAAGAGAGTGAAAGCTGACTATGGAAGACAGTGGGTAGATAGGTGTTAGAGAAATATTCATCAGAACCAATGATAAAGAAGATAAGTAGGTAGGTAGATACATAGATTGGTTTGTTTATCTGTTTTGAGACAGGGTCTCCCTGTAGCCCTAGATGGCCTAGAACTCATTATGTAGACCAGGCTGGACTTGATCTCAAAGATTTGCCTCCTTCTGCCTCCCAAGTGTTGGGATTAAAGACTTGATAGATGGATGAGTGGATGGATGGATGGATGAGTGATAGCTAGATAGGTAGATAGAGCTAGGTGAGTGACAGCTAGATAGGTAGATAGAGCTAGGTGAGTGATAGCTAGATAGGTAGATAGAGCTAGGTGAGTGATAGCTAGATAGGTAGATAGAGCTAGGTGAGTGATAGATAGGTAGATCAATGATACATGCACAGAAGAATGGGGAAAGATAGCAGTTATCTTTTGGGGGATTAAAATAAAAGGTCCTTTCACTTTCCATAAAACATTCCAACATTCTGTTGTTTGGACATTTTTGCAGTATTACTTGTGTAAATCGAAAAAAAAAAAAAAAACCCAATAAAAGACATTTCCATTTGGGAACACAAAAACCTTAGAGTTGTCAAGCTGGGAAGAACAGTGCCCTGAGCGTAGGTGTTCTACAGAGCATCACTTCCCTGCTCTCACTGTGCGCTCTGGTGAAGCAGAGGTGAGGTTCCTCTTGCAGTCCCCAGACTGGAGATTTGGGGGTCTCTTTTCTCACTCCCCCAGTTTCCAGTTCTTTTCCTTTTCCAAGGCCGAGGTCACTTTGGAGAAACGGAAGAGAGTGATAGTCAATCCCATTTCCTGTCTCCCATTTCCACCAGTCTCATAGTTTTGCATCTGTTTTCTTCTCCGGCCAAGTCTGGCTTATTTTCAGGACAACTCTTACTACATGAACTATGCTGCTGTATTGCTGGACCTGGCCTGTGCCTGGAGGGCCGCTGTGGGCAGACCCCGGGCAGAGGTTTAGAAGGCCAGGGGATTAAAGACTTGATAGATGGGTGAGTGGATGGATGGATGGATGAGTGATAGCTAGATAGGTAGATAAGGCCAGGACCATGGGACAAATCACATCCTATGTCTGTGTTTCTGTTTTCTGGACTGTGAAGTTAGGAAAATGTCTGATATTCTTATCTCCTAGCTTGGTTTTGAAAAGAGCTCCAGAAATAGACATAAAGCATTTTAAATAGCAAATGCCGAGGTGGTATGCCCCACAGCAATGGGCTAGGTAGTTATGGCTTGAGTTTGTTTTGGATGATAGGTGCCAGCCAGCTTGGCTGCAACTCCTCAGATCTGTCTGCGATATTGGTTAGTATAGGCTGAGTCTGTTGTGATAACATCTACCGTGGCAGGCTCCTGTTGAAGAATGCTGTCCTCTAAGCCTGGGAGCCATCACTATCATATCACAGCAACTGTGGTGACCAGCAACCGGAGTGAGATTTTTCCAAGAATGCAGTTGTTTTGCATCACCTCCACTCCTGTAAGTAGCCCTTGCATCACACTTACCGAATAAGCACAATAGATTCACTGGCCCACCAGGCTAGACTTGGGTGCGATTGTTACTTTGGTCTATAGTTGGTGTCCTATCTGGTGGGAGTGTTCATGTCTCTCCAACTCCAAGAACTCAGTATCTTAAACGAGCAAAGTGTTGTCCCTCGGTCCTACTGCATGACCATCTCACCAGCTGGGATGGCTCTGTTTTCATTCTAGGATCTGGGCTGACACAGCAGTGCTATCTGAATGCTGCAGGTCATGCACTGTGAGAGTTCTGGGGACTTGGCCCTGGCAATCAAATGTTCTGGCTCAGAAGTGCCACATCACTATTGCTAACAATTCACCTGCAGTCTCATCACAGGCCCTCCGTTACAGGGGACCAGGTTAGCACTGCCTGCTAGGACAGGGGAAGGTGGACAACTCGGGGGAGCATCCTGCCGTGCTTTGGATCCTGAGTGTCCCCCACAGGTTCATGCATCAAAGGCTGGATACCCATGGCACTGTTGGAAGGTGGTGGAGCCTAGGAGGAGGATCTTAGGTCACTGGGGGTATGATCATAAAGGGGATTGTAGGACCCTGGCCACTTCTTCCCTGTCTGCCATTGGTCATGAGGTGGCAGTTTTGCTCCACCCTGCACCCCCCAAAGTGCACCATCCCACCCCAGGCCCAATCATCCTGACCAATGATTATGGATAGAAATTCTCTGAACTGTGAAAATGAACCTTTTCTCTTTATAAGCTTCTTACCTCAGGTATTTTGTCATAGTGATAAGAAGGTGTCTAGCACACATTTCAAACAAATCACTACCAGAAAACTCCATGTTGGTGTCCAGGGCAGGAGTCATAGAACATCCCTCAGAAGGCTTTTTCATGCAATATTTACATCTTCAGTTTTTTTCACATTTACCATAATGTATGAGGTTCTGAAATGATGTGCGTGGGCATGGTGGAAAACAGCAGATTCTTACTGCAGAAACTGGGAAACAGAATACAGAGAAATGAATAACTA